GGTGTGTTTTCCTTGTTCAGCATCAACAGTGTTGTGTCTAAGAGTCTTCCAGCCTGGTATCTTATTCACTGAAGAGTTTTTAAATATGGATATGTGTGTTAGACCTGGAAGTGGTCCCATGCAAAATGTAATGAAACTGGGCTGCTGTGACCTCTGAGCTCCAAGGCGTTTGTTTTGGCTCCCTCACAGAAACCTGCAGTATACAAATTGGCACTTGTAAAAATGTTCAGATAAATCAAAAAATGGCACGGGGGGGCCGGGGGGGAAGTTTCAAACTGTTTCTTTTGGGATCCTTCACCATGCTATTTTGGATGTGTGTTTTTGTGGCAGCAGGCAGTTTGTTGCTTGAAGAGAGCTGAAATATTCTAGGAAGTCAGGCTAGCTGGATTTAGATCTCAAGCGATGCCAAAACTAATATAGCCTGTAACTAAGTGAGAGTGACTTTGCACAGGGAATGTCAGTCACCCGCAGCTTTGTCTTACATTTTCATAGGAGCCTTTAAAAAAAGCAAAACACAAACAAAACCCCAGCAAACGTGGGAGCTGCTCCCATCCAGTGGAGCTGTAGTTTCAGTGCTCCTCATCCTCAGCCCGGGGAGGGTCTGCAGGGCTGGAGGGATGGATGGATGGGGATGGGGTGTCAGAGCAGGGAATGCCTGCTCTGGTGCTGGCAGCTGGGCTGGCCTGGAGTGCCCTCTCTTGGCTGCTGCACATCTCACTTTTTGGGAGGGACAAGGGAACAGCCAGCCTGGTTTATCCCTTTTATTTCCCAGCAGGATGGGCAGAGGTCGGCTGCACTGGTTCTGTCTCCAGTTTTGCTTCCTAAGCCCCTCTGAGTGTGGATGTTTGGTGCCCGTGGCAGTCGAAGCCACAATAAAGTTGCAGCTCCAGCCTTGCACATGGGACTCTCCTAACTCCTGGGACTCTTAACATTTTAGCAGAGCTCGGGTTTTTAAGAGATTTCATACTGCCCCCAACCCAGGCATCCCAGAGGCAGCAACTGCAGTGGCCCCTGCCTGACTCTCCACTGCTAAATGAATCCAGAACAAATGAGGCTCTGAAAATAAGGAGAAAAATTTGACACCTGGACTCCGGGAAACATTTGTGGGTTTTGATGAGGAGAAGGGGGGGAAGGGAAAACCTATGGTTCAGCATAGTTAAATATATGGTGTGCTAAGTATGAATAAATTGTGGCTGTTTTAAACAAGTCCACGGAATCCGTGGCTGGCTCGGGCACAAAGGGGAGGACAGCAGCCACAGCACACGAGTTCCTCAAAGGTTACCTGGAGGCCACTGTCCTGGGCTGCTGCTGCATGGCAGGGGGCAGCTCTCAGCGTTTACACAAGTGGCAAACGTTCCAACAAGTAATTCTTCCCTTAAAAAAGAGCTTTTGAGTTTAGGGGGTTTGTCTCCTCACAGCCCTGCTTTGCAGTCCGGTGCTTTTCCTCATTGCTCATAAGTGATTCATTGGTGTAAAGGAATCCTTCAGGAAAGGTAAAAGTTCCTCTTTAAAATGTGCCAAGGCCTGTTTTTGACAATCTTGGAGGTCTTTTCCAATCTTAAGTGTTTGTGTGATTCCTGCTCGTTTTAACATGTCAGTTCACATGAGATTGTCCATTGCACGCCCCTTGTGCTCTGGTACAAAGCCATGTGATAATTTCTTGAAATACTGAAATTTTATCACTTCTGGGTTAGGGGAGAGAGTTGCAAATTCCATCCCAGTAAACTTCACTTTTAAAGTAGAAGCTGAAATCTGGTCCTGCCTGCTGGTGACTAAAAATCAATATGAGCCAAGTAAAATGAGTCTAGAGCCTCAGGGTAGGTGTGCAGTCACACTGGTGCTCTTTAGTAACTTGGAATGGTTCTAGCTGGTCTGTTAATGTGGAAATCCCACATTTCAGTGGTCTGAAATCCCACTGTGGGAGTGAACTTGCCTTGTAACTGTGCTAACTATATACAAACTATACCTTTTGCACTTGGTATGGAAGGAAAGGATCTGTTTTTCATCCTGCTGCAAGCACTGCTTTCTTTCAAGAGCAAGACAACAGCCCTCATGGCCCAGTTGCACTCACCATTTAGAAAATGTGAATTTGGTGAATTTGCTGTCTTGTTTTAGCAGGTGGTTCTTTAGGGTGTGCTTGAGGTCAAGGGTAAATCTATAAGGCAAAGTTTCAAAAAAATCCCAGCGTTCCCCTGATTTTGATAAGCAAAGCACAGTGCAATCCACTGTTGTGACAGAATATTATTAAATTACAGAGAGAATATGGAAACATGATTACACCTTGCAATTCAGTGGGTCTGTGCCTTCCTGTGCAGCTTTTGTTGCATTCCTCGTGGCAATCTCACCGTGGTTCAGCCACTGGTGAGCCCTGAGGTTTTGAGCACTGCTGGTGCTGCTGCTGAGCTCTCACTGTGCAGCTCATCCCTCTCTTCTCTCCCTGTACAATAGCTCCCTCTGCTTGAAATCAGCAGTGGAATTGTTTCCTGCTTGCCTGGACAGCAGTTTTTAACATGGGCTCCCTTTTTTTAGGCTTCTGCTGCTCTTCATGAAGCAATTGCAGTGCATGGCTTGTGGTTGTGTGCTTTGTGAAGCAGGGAAAATAACCACATTGTCCTCAAACTTCTCTGCCTAGAGCTGTTTCTTTGCAGGAACTCTGTTCCTTTTGGAACACTTCTTTCAGCTAAATTATCTCTTACCAAAACATGATGATTTATTGAGCAAAACTGTTTTTATTTCAGTGGTGAGTTGAAACAGGACTGTTTCTCATCAGAAATGTGGTAGTTAGGCCACTGACCCTGCATAGAAACAGCTGATGGTGAGATTCCCATATCCTGCTTGAGTGGTTCTGATCCAGAACCCAAAAAAGAACTGATTGAGATCAGACAGAGCAGGGATTTGAACTTGGTTCTCCCCCATCCTCAACCAGCACCGTAATTCCTGGGCCAGTCATTCACTCACAGGATTTTGTCAGCTTATCTGCATGGGTGGGGGTGAGTGCTGGGTTTGTTTTGTTCATTTTTTATCAATATAGCTAAGCCAGCAAAAGTCATATTTATAAAAGCTGTCGTGTCAGCAAAGGTGTCGTTTTGCTGAGAGAGCATTCACCCATTCAGGGAACCAGCAAAAACCTCCCTGGCCATGGCAAGACGAGCCCATGATAGGAAAACTTGCTGGTTTAGTTCTCCAGCAAAGCCTCCCTAGTGTGAACAGTGCCTTGCTTGCTGGCAAGGGGCTGTCTGGGCTGGATCCTGGGTCTGCAGAGATGTCCAGAAGGTTATTTCTAATTTGCAGTGGAGCAAATCCCCAGATTAAAACCAGTTTAGAAGTCTGTGTTGGTTCCAGGGTCCTTGGGCTGGTTGGGGTTTGCTGGCAAGAACAAAGGGCAGCAATAACTTCAATTTTTTACATTCAACACTTAAAGCAAAGCTCTTCTTTTTCCTTCCCATTTTATAATCTCTTTGGATTCTGTTCTGAACTTGCTGGGTGTTGGTTCATTCCTGAAAATCTCCAGAGGGGGCACAGACACTGGGGCAGCACGAGCACCTTGGCACAGGAGGCAAACCCAGGGAGCCTGCTGGGCTTGGCTGCCAGGACATGGCACTCACCAGGAAACATCGTGTGTGCACTGAGGATAAATCATAAAATTGTAAAATTGTACAAGAGCAGGATGGAGCACTAGGACAGGAGAGAATTGTTGCTGATCTTTATTTACTTGATTCCAGCTCTGGCGTGGCTCTTCCTGCTGAACTCTAATTTCACTTCTCTCATTTCAGCCTTTTACAGATATTACAGGCATTGCCTCATATGTTTGCACATACCTTAAAAAACATGTGCCCTTGGAAAGCAGTGTATAGTCATATAAAAATAAAGAGCTTAAAAAGCATTCCTGTTTTCACATTAACACTGAGGTGCTGAATTCATGGTGGTCTTTGTGATTTGAATTTTGCCTTTTTTTTTATCCCTCCCATGCCCTGAATAAGATGCAAGTCCTAAGGGAAAAATAGTCCACGATTGTGCATTTGGAGACCCAGTGCATAAAGGAGCATTTCTGAACTTTATGAGCCCTTAGCAAGGGGGAAAAAGGCTAATTGCAATCTTAAAAAAACTAATGAGGAAACAAAAACATTTTAAAAAATTAAAACCCCATACCTTTGTTTTGTATATCTTTCTGCCAGTATATAATAATCTATAATTTTATTGGATTGAGACTAGTTTTTTAAATTACTGAAGGCATGATAGAAATGGTAGAGGACACAAAGCAAAGGCTAATATTGGATAAAAGATGAAGTGAAGTGGATATATTTGCATCAGTTTACAATGTGTATAATATTTTGTGCTTGACACTTTCTGTATCCACCATTACATTGTTCCTCGTGTTCAGTAATAATCTTAGTTACTCTCCTGTTGCTGTCTCCTGTTCCCTGTTAAGGTGCAGAAAATGTCTCTCCTAAGTTATCACGTGGAGTTGACGAAGCAGAAACGCTGCAGCAGCACAGCACACATCAAATGCTATTTCTTCAGTATTTGGGGGCTTCATTTGGACTTAATACTTTGAATTAAATTTCTGACGTCGGGGTGGTTTCTTTGCCATCATTTCTGCTGCTCTGAAGCCCTCGGGTGACGTGCAGGGTGGTTATTTCCTGTGACATTAGCACGTCCCAGGCTGGATGGAGGCTGGTGGAAGGCTGCCAGTGTTGTTGTTCTATTTGCAGGTTGGCCTGGCTTTGTCTGTGTGTGTAAGGAGAGGGCAGGGTACCGGTCACCTTTCAGATCTTAGCATTTCTTAATGGATTAGGCAAGTGATGGAATATCTTTCTTTCTGCACACTGTTCTTTGGCAGTGCTAGCAGACTGGGGTTTTTTTTTTTTTGAACGTCTCAGCAGGCTCCAGTCCCGTAGCATCAGAGGATGAACGTGCTTGAGTGCTCTTTGCACACTCCAAACAAACATCATCTGAAGGCCTTCACTTGGGGGTGTTTTTCTTCTCATTTTCCCCCCCAGGATCCCTTGGACCCAGCAGGAACAGCCATAGTGATCAGCTCCCTGGTGGCAGGAGGGGTGGCCGAGCGCGGGGGGCAGATTCTGCCAGGTGACCGCTTGGTGTTCGTCAATGAGAAACACTTGGGCAGTGCCACCTTGGCAGAGGCAGTGGAGGTGCTGAAATCCGTGCCCCCGGGTACAGTTTCCCTTGGAATCTGCAAGCCTTTGGTGGTAAGAACTGATTTTGACTGTTTTTTGTTCTTGTCTTGTGGCATGGCGCGTGTCGATGGGGTTGTCGTGTTTGCGGGGAGAATTCAGCCCAGGCTGCGTGTGCATGTGGGAAACAACTGAGCTGCCGTGCCTTGAGAGGGCCAAAAGTTCTGGCAAACGGGCAGCTCAGTGTCCAGAAAGTCTGACTGGAAAACCAGCATGCTCAAGTTCCCTGAAGAACATCCACGTGGAGCTGGGAGCTGGGAGATGTGTGCAGGTGTAACATGGTTCAGCACTTCAGCAGCCATGAAATGTGTGCTGGAGCCCATTCCTCTCTGAGACACTGCTGAGTGCTTGCCTGAGCTCCACTGACATCAAAGAAACCTACTCTGTTTGAAGTCAAGACTGTATATCCAAGCAGAATTTCCCTTTTCTGGAATCAGGCCTGTGGAACCCTTTAGTCCCCACTAAAGGTGGGGAATGCTGCAGTATTGTTCATCAAGGGCACCCAGGTAAAATTAATTAAAGCCCCAGTTAATAGTAAATGCTTGTAATTCAAAGTGGTAGAGGAGTTGTGAAATAGGAGTGTAGGAAAGCTGTTAAATATATTATTTCCTTTTCTAAAAATTGAGATTTCTTTGTTCATATCCTTGTATTTGTCTTTCCTTCCTACACATCTTTTTAGATTTTAGTGCATCTGAACCAATATCTTCAAAGTTGAAAAGCTATTGACTTCATCTTCTCCATTTTTGACTTTCTATTTTTATAATTCTTTTCTAATGGCTGTTTCTCCTTCTCCCTTTTAATTTATTGAAAGATGTGGGAATTTTTTTTGTTGTTGTTTTCCTGACTCATTGTTTGGATTACCTTTTTTAGGGAGAAAGCAGAGAGGAGGAGAACATGCACGGTGTGGATACCAGCAGCATCAAAAGCAGCCCTGAGTCTCCAGAACCAGTAGACAACACAAATTTCTCAGTAATACTTGAAGCACCACAGGTATTTGGATACTTTTTTTGGTTCAACTCCAGTTTATACAGACAGGAAATGATGTTTTAACGTAAAAACTACAGTATGCTTTTCAGATAAGACTGAAAGTATTGGATTCCCTCTGAAAAAGCCTCTAACAGCAAACTGTGCCAAGTGCATTGGGAGCACTTACCAATGCAGCTCCCAGACTGCCTTATCAAATTTATTATGTCATTAAAATACCTTGGGTTACCTTGGATATGAAATAGGAATGCTGTGTTGTTATTATAATCAGAAGTGGTGGGCTCAGCTTTGCACAGAAAGTAAAGTATGGAAGCAGAATGCTTTTAATTATCGTGAAGCAAAACAAAAATGTAGTTTAGAGTATAAGGCACTCTTGAAATACTTTCTTCTTCATAGCCTTCTAATGTTCTCTAGAGTGATTTCTTTACTCTTGCCTCAACTCTCCTCATCCTTACTATCTGAGAAATAATTCTGTTTATTGTGGGAGGATGTGGCATTAAAGATAGTGAGAAACTCAGATACCAGGGTAATAGGCAATAATATTGCAGTTCTCACCAGTGCAGAGCTAGAGAGATGTGGATATCTTTTAACTCTCATCTGTTCTCAAGTGTTCTGCAAAATTCATGCTGGTAAATGTATTCTTTTTATACCAGAAAATACAGTACATAGAGGATCATCCAGAACTGCAACACAGGAAGAAAAATGAATTCCAAATTTTCGTGTAGCTGAACATGTGTACCTGTCTCTGGATACAAACCTATTTTTAATGCTGAAATGGTAGATTAGAAGCACCAAAAAGGAGAAGTATTACAGGCTAGATGTGGATATACTGTGAAGAAATTAGCCTGGATGATGATAAATGATATTTACTGATTTTCACAATGTAAAATGGCATTTGTTGTTTTCCTGGGGCATGGGAAGGATTGCAGAGAATTTGTTCTCTGCCAGCTCAGATTGGTTTTTTACTTCCTAAATGAAACCAAGGTCATTAAGTATTTTTAAAGAAAATATTTTGTCTTAAAGTCCTGAAACTGGAAGGATCCATTTGGACAAAACACCCGCAGAGGAATTTACTCACATTTTGTTTTACCTCATGTGTGACAGCTTTGGTGGTAGCTAAAATTCCCATCCATTTCTTATCTTACCTGCTCACACAGGTAGCCAGGAGTGCTGTGTGCTGGTGACTCCCACTCTGAGGCACTGGCAGCCAGAACTTCAACCCCAAAATGTTGGAATTTGAGGATTTTATTTATTTGCTGCCAGGGTGGACTTCAGGGTGGTATTTGCAGCATTGCCTGCGCTGTTGGTGGTGTGTGGTGCTGCAGTGCAGCAGTCAGGGAGGATGCAGAGCAAACTGCTGGGTCAGGGACACAAACCCTGTGTGCTTCTGAGCAGGGACAACTGATTTATGTGCCCTGGACTTGGGGAAGTGTTGGGAGAACAGCACTGCAGAGCCAAGGGGGAGCGGAGTGAAAATGGAGAGAATTAGGATCTCTTCAGACTGGGTGTTTTGTGAGATCAAGGTACATGGATCAAATGGATTAAAGGGACATTTAATGCTAATTAAGTTATTAGAATGGACTAATTTTTGGATTGCTGGTGTTCTGCTCTCGTGTCAGCTATTGGCTGCATTCCTTATGCTCCTGCCTCTGTCTTGTTTTCTCTCCTGCCTCTCGCTTGAATTATACAAACATCTTGGCAGTGTCTGGGGGCTTTCCTTCTGTATTTGTACAAATGTAACAAAACAGGATCCTGACACCGAAGGTCAGAAATGGTGCAGTGCCGTGGGGAGTCTGGGAAGGGGCAGGAAGCAGAAACAAAAACATTTTGAGGAAGGAGCCCTGAATCTGTGCACTGATTTCAGAGGGGCTCGGGGTGTTGAGGTTGGATTTGGGGGCTCTTGGAAACACAGAGATTTGGTGGCCTGGAGAAAAGAGGGGGAAAGCTCTCAGTGTGTGGAAAAATTTTGGGATAAGTGCAGGGCATAAAATCCCAGCTGCCTGAGCAGACTCCCTGTGAGCCAATGAATAGCACCCCATTGCATTTGGGAGGAACAGGAGCTGGTGAATGTTGGGGAAGCACGTGGCAAATCCCAGGAAAAGAACTGTGGAGTGAGATCTGAATTTCAGAGTGGGTTTTAATTCCTTTTCCCTCGGTTTTGTTGTTTGTTTTTTTGGTTTGTTGCTCTGTGGTTTGAGTTCAGTAGAAAGGTGAGCGCTGGTCTCATTAAAACAGGAAAGTAATGAACAGTCATTTATATCTTTTTTTTTGGGGGGGGGAGTATGTGGGTCATCCATTTCCCCTCTGCCCCAGGTTAAAGTTGGATGGAATATCCAAGGTAGGGACAAGCAAATATGGCTTTCATTTGGGTTTTTTGGGGGGTTTTTAGGTTGCTAACACTGTTGCATAAGCAAACTCTTAAGCTTTTTATTTAGCTGATAGCATTTTAAGAAATGTTCATGCATTCATAAAGCAGCAGCAGATATGTCTGAAGCACAGATATACTTTAACTAGATTTATATGTACTTTTTCCTGTGGTTGTTTTAGTATTAATTAATAATTTCATTCCCTAACTTCAGTCCAGATTGGTTTTTCCAAATGGCTGCCACAGTATCTAAGCTGTGCAACTTAAATATCTTTACATTGAAAAAAAAATAATTGCACTGTCTACTTTCAGTGTTAAAATCATAAGTCAGAGAGTTTATTTTCTTTTACAAAATGCAAAAAGGTAGAAGATGTTCACTTCAAAAATCAGGATGTACTTTTAACGTGGGCAAGAAATAAAGCATAGCTTTAGAAGAGTGGGGAGGAAACTCGGTGTAAAATCTCTATTCCTTTAATGATCTTTGCAGGGTTTCAGAGATGAGGTGCCTTATAAAGAAGAACTCGTTGATGAGCCCCGTTTGGACTTGGGAAGGTCATTCCAGCTGTCTCAGAAGGATGATGAGTGTGGGAAGGAGTCCTGGGAAATGTGTGAATTTCTGAAACCCGGAGCAGAGGACATGGAGGAGGAACGGGAGATGTTGGTGGATGAGGAGTATGAGGAGGACTCAGAATTCCTGAAATGTGGTGATGCCTCAGGTGGAGAGAAGGCACCTTCAGACAGGAACCTGGACACAGAGCAATGGGCAGAGCAACTGGAGACTGCTGAAATACAGGATTTAAGATCCAGTGCTAGCCTAAGTCCCAAAGAGTCCCTGGAATATCCATTCAGTAAAGATGAAATGGTAAGAAATGCTGTGCTGAGCACAGATCCCTCAGGGCAGACTCCAAAACTTAACCCTCAGGACTCTCTCTAGTGTTTTAATTACTAGAATTTAACTCATTTATTTACTTGTGCACCTCTAACAGACGCCAGTCTATCCTTTTGTACATTTTGGAAGGTTTTTTTTAGGAAACTTACTGTCAGTACATTTACCTGCTGGAGTGAAATATGTGGTTGGTGTATTTACAGGCATTCTGAATTTGTCCTTTTACCCAAAAACTTGTGGTTTTGGTTTGGTTCCTTTTGGAAGCTGTGTTGATATGGGGCAGGCCAGTAACAGCAGAATGTCACTTCGTGGGTTTGATAGCCTTCAGTGAGAGAAACTCCCTCTTTTCCTCATTTTTTAAACCCAAATCAGTTCCTTCATCCAGATTGTGTCATTGAGTAAAAAGTGATATTGTGGAAGGATAGTGGTGGATAAAGGAGTAGAAGGAGACAGGTTCGGGTGAATTGCAAAACTCTTATTTATACATCTTTCTCAAGTACTGAGAATTATTTTTTCCTTCTGATTCTTTGTTCATCCTCTTACTAAACAAAAAAAGTGATATTATCAGCCTCCCATGAACCAGGTCCTGAGGTGTGTGTGCTTTTATGTGGAGAAAAAATGGAGTGGAAGAGGATTTTGTATCACAGCCACAGAGAATTTGAGGTTTTGTTTGGCTTGTCCCCTTAAGCAGGATGTGTATAAACAGATAAAATGAAGTTTCTACTGACAGTTTTATACCAGAGTGCACAATATTAAATTTATATATTTGTTACTTATAAAAAACAAATGAGCAAGAGTAAAGAAATTTTAGTCTGAATTAGAGGTGAGGAGAAAGATACGGTTGCTTTATATTTCAATTGCATATAACATTTCTCATGTCTCTCCTTAATGCAGTGAATAAATGAGCAGTTAGTATTTAAATGAGCAGTTAGTATTTCATAGTTACCTGAATAAATATGAATGTAGCTGAGGAAACGTGTGTGTTTGCTGCAAAAATTAATGTTCCTGTCAAATACCCCTGTGTAAGTTAATACCATTGCTTTCTAACTTTAATTACTTCTTTTCTCCTCTGTGAAGTGTGAAGAGAATGCTTCTATAAGGTCACACTTTTCTGGAACCACAGCACACAGCAGCTACCAAAAAGACATATTTGATACTGAAACTACCCAGGCAGAAGTGAAAACTGAGATGGATTTAGGTTTGTAAGAAGGTTCTCTTTATCTCATAATTTTGTATTTACAAATCTAAATTTTTTACCAAAACATAAATACTTTAACATGAAAAAATAATCAAATCAAGAGTTCTGCAATCTCAAGACAGTCTGGCATTAAATGGGTTTCAGCTTTATAATCTTGCTTCCTCCTCCAAATCTGGCCAGTGACAAATAAATACAGAAATAAAGTGACAAATAAATACAGAAATAAAGTCACAGGCTCTGGGGGTGGCTTTAGCACAACCAGAAATTTGCAAGTGGTCTGTGTGGTGGATAATTGCCCCATATCTTGGGTTTGTGATTTGTGCTCAAGACCAAAGTTTCTCCTTGTCAGATGGCCACAGATGGATGCTTAGGATTTGGCAGATTCATCAGAGAAATAAATTTATCAAGCTGCCTGAAGTGGCATTCCCTGCCTGGGAGGAAGGAGCTCCAAGCCCTGTCCAACCTGGCCTTGAACACATTTGGAGCCTGGTGGGATAAAGGGTTTAATTCCAAGGGTGAAATAATTGGTGGGTGCCTGGACAGAGGAAGCCAAAGTTCACATCTCTCCCCTTCTTTTCTTCAGGGACAAAGGTTCAGAGTGACTCTGAAGGACCTGAGCTTGCTGTTGATTCAGAAGCAACTGAAAAGGAAGCACTAAAGGAGGAGAATTATGTTTTTCCCAAGAAGCAGGAATCTGAGAGAGTAACCACCTTAGCTCAGCCTAGAACAGCATCAGGCAGGTATGGAGGAAGATTTCAGGTTTTGAAAGACATTCATTTAATGGTCTCATCTCTCCTCTTGCTTTACTCAGCTGAATCATGATTAAAGGTTGTGTGGAGTGCTCAGACATAGAGGGCCAGGTCTGTAGCTTTTACAGGAGATGGAGTTTGGCTTAAAACCTTAAAACTTCCCAAGTTTCCTCCCCTGAGCACTGGGACAGAAATGTGCAAATGGCTCTGCCACCACTCCACAGTGAGGGATGTGGCTGGAGCAGAGGGATGCAGCCTTTACTCACAGCTCCTTAAAGAGCTCTCCTGGTTTTCCCTTCCCTTTGTTCTTCCTTTTGGGAAGAGCAGGTCAGCCAGGGGATCTGCAGGAAACTTTAGTTCTGCCAGTGGTGCTGAGGAACCTTGAGCTGGCACTGGCTCTGGATATTTGCCTTATCTGTCCCAGTCTTTCCCCACCAGTTTGGGGTCAGTGGAGCTTTTGGGGCCTTTGATTCCAATCCTCTATACTTCCCTAATTTCATCTGAAATCTTCTCTCAGAGGGAAAGCAGCTCAACAATAAGGTGAGGGGATTGTTCTGTAGGGTTTAATGGAACACACAGGATCTGTTCTCCCACTTGGATCATGATCTGCTTACTGCTTTTGGCATGTTTATATCCCTCTCCAAGCATCACAGCATATTTATCAGAAAGTAAATGTTAATTGCTTAAATAGTCATTTAGAATGAGTAAATGCAGTGCAGATTTGTGTATCACAGAGCAGCTTATAAATTTGGTCTGCCCATCATGTTTATTTCTGGAGCATTCCTTAAGTACATTTAAACCTAAATACAAAAATTCCTGTCTGGTCTGTTGACTCTGTACATTTGCTTTAAACTGGGCAGTGTGAGAAGGTGTTGCTGTCTCACTGCCAGATACAAAATATGTGAGGAATTGTGACCTGGCATGGGTGATGCCTCTTTTATTTTTTATTCTTCCCTTCCCCTCTGCCCCAAATTAGTGAATTACCCGAGAGAGAAGAAGGAGAAGGAGAAGAAACTCCAAACTTCAGCCACTGGGGACCACCACGGACGTATGTTCATATTATTCCTTCCCATTTACCTTAAGTTGTTTTGGTTTTTTTTCTGTGAGCCACATTAGTTCTTTTTGGGTGGGTTTTTTTTTTTTCTCTCCTCCTCTGCCAATAACTTTAGGGTACCTGTGTACCTTGGACTTTTCCTGAAGACAGGGAATTTTTAACAGATGTTCAGCAGAGTTCTGCCTTCTGTTTATACAGCTGACTTGGGAAAGCTTGGCTGGTTGAGGTTGTGGATGACCTACAAGTTCTTGCTCATTTAATAACTATTAGGTGTGAACAATGCACATAGTGCTGTGCTGTCTCCCTTTCCACAGGTTCCATTGCTAAACCCCCACGGCAGGATTCCAAATTGCCAAGCCAACTTTTTAGCCACATCCTTGTTGTATTGTTAACATTTTTGGGTGAATTGTTTTTATGGTCCCAAGTTAAATATGATCAGAAAGTTCCTGCTTGAGCTGATGAATATGCACTGAAGTCAGCGTTCAGAAAGTTGTATGAAATTCTTCATTATTTGTCTAACATGCCACTTGCAGGGCTTCCCATTCCCAGGCACTTTGTTCAGGCTGAAAGAGGATAAGTGTTTACTTGAAGATCTGAATTTCTCTGAAATGAAAGCCTCTGCCCAGTGGGCATGGGTTGGCAGCAGAATTTTGCTCTTTTTGTGGGGTGAGATCTGCTCAGGGTGAAAACTCAACTCTGCTGAGAGCATTCTCAGGCTTCTGACTTTATCTCTTTGCTCTGTTAAATCTTCCTGAAAGACCAGGAGCTTACATTTATTTAAGGCTTTGCATTTGTAGTTAAAAAAAAAAAAAAAACAAAACTGTTTGAAGTTCTTGAAACTATCACATATATTTTTTCAGTGTTGAGATCTTCAGAGACCCTCACGTGTCTCTTGGAATCAGCATTGTTGGTGGACAAACTGTCATAAAGCGCCTGAAGAATGGAGAAGAACTTAAAGGGATCTTTATCAAACAAGTTTTGGAAGACAGCCCAGCAGGAAGAACAAGGGCTTTAAAAACTGGAGATAAAATACTTGAGGTAAATGGAGATAAACCTTCCTTTTTAGTCTAAGAAATAAAAATTGACTCAAACGGCTTTGGGTGAAGAGAGGAACAAAATGCTGCCACCACTTCATGAAGTATTGACAGCACTGTGTTTTGAAAACCAAAGGAAACCTCGGTGGTGTTTCTTTTTTTTAAGGTCTGACTATGGAGGTCTTTTAACATTCTCCTCTGTATTTAAGAAAAGATGTGTCCTGGTGTCTGAGGGGGAAGTGAAAAAAACAGCAGTGTCCTCCTCTCATACAAATGAGGAATAAGTTTTAGCATATCTATAAGCATAAATTTAATATATACAAGGACACAGACTGTTCATACTGAATTATGGGCTGTTATTTTGTGTGTGTGGATTTAGAGTAGTTAAGTGATAACCACTGTTTGGGATAAATCCCTGATTCTGGCTGGTGCTGTGGGGGAAAATGTCGTTCCCTCCTCTCACCTCTGGTTGATTTTTTTTTACTCATTTTCTCCAAATTAATACTTCAGAATCTGGGGTGCCAAGCTGATAGTACTGTTCAGGTGTAGTTTGCAAACAGGTAAAAGCTGAAAGTGTTGGATCTAACATTATGTAACACTCTGAATATCTTACTCCTTATGTTTTTATCTAGGAGAATTGTTTTGGGCAACATATGGCCATCTTTTAATTATGAATACCCAGTAATACACTTTTCTTTAAACCATCACCGAAACATACTTTACAAATAATTACTCTTGACTGTTTTTGATGCCTTCCTCAGATACACTAATCTCCTGCAAGTGTGTGTGATGCCTTGTAATGACTCTGTACCTAATAAAAATAAACACTGTTTGTCAGGTTTCTGGGGTAGACCTTCAGAATGCCACCCACGAGGAAGCTGTAGAAGCCATCAAGAATGCAGGAAATCCTGTGGTGTTTGTAGTCCAGGGCTTGGCTAATGTACCAAAAGTAAGTTTATTTCTATTTTTATTCCAAAACTTAGTAAATGCATGACATGCATCTTATTTTAAAGCTGGCTAAATTCCTTTCAGCCAGTCCTGTCAGTTTTTATGTCCAAGGATGGATCCTCTCCGTCAGTTACAGACTGATTGATTGACTACTTCTCTGCCTGATTGGAAACCTCATTTGTCTGATTTACATGGAGTAGATGTAAATCTGTTGACTAGGTGTTAATTCAGCTCTCTCACCTGTGTTGTAAGAGCCTGGCCCTATGCATTTTGATTTGTCCGTGTTACACAATCAAGAAATAAACTCTGTTTATCTCAGAGGAGCAAAGCTGTAATTAAAATTAGTCAGATTCACACCAGCAGCTCCTTGTGAAACATTTCTGAGGGACCTGAAACAGTTACCTGGGAGCAAGTTAATTTCCAAGAGATTTCAGGCATCTCCTCAGCTTTGAGGCCAGGGCAAGAAACTTTTTAAAGCCTTAGTAAGAGCAGGCATACAATTCTACCTGCCTAGAATGCCCACAGGAACTCCAAACTTTTGATGTAAGAATGTAATTCAGTAAATCCAGTGAAAGAATGTGATTTGTTGACTTCACTGCAGTGCCCTTCTACATGGGGCAAAATGCAGAGTGCACTGGGGAGCTTTGTTGTTGTCAGGAACTGATTTTGGATGTTTGTTTTGCAGCTATAATGCTCTGTCTAATGTGGTACTTTGGTTTTCAGGTGGTTTCTCCTGCCCAGCCTAAGGGAATCAGAGTCAGTAAAGATCAGGATGCAGACAAAGGAAATAAGACTGATAAGGTATTTATTCCATTCAATGCTGTACCCAGGTTTTACTAAATGAAGTGGTATAATAGCATGTATTCTAACTCTATGATAAGCTTCCTCCGAAGTCTGAAATTAAATTTGAAGTGTTTTGTTGAAATATCTTTGATTCTATGACTTTTTGCCAAATTCCTGCCAAATATTCTGACACTTATTCTGTGGGTGTCTGCTGGGTGCTGAAACCCTGTACTTAGCACAGCTCCTCACTGTCATCTGTCTGAAGTACCTGGTTTGCTCCATGTGGAGGAAAATTGATTCCCTTTGTTCAGCAGAAACAGAGAAATGGCAACATGTACACAAATAATACCCTCCATGTGAGGCTGCCTGAAATTCAGTGAAATCAGGTTATGGGATGATGAAATCCACAGAGTCTCCTGCATTTCCCTCAGCTGTGTAAATTGAGGAAATGACCGAGGGATCTGTGGCTGCTCAGCTAATTGTGAGGCAGTTACTGCACAGTGACTTCCAAATAACTTCACAGCAGCTCTAAAAGAGAAAAACTCTGTTTGGTAGGAAACAAGAAGTTTGTGTTAATAAGGGGACAACTGAAAAATGTTAATTTTTCATTTTCAGCTGTATCACTCTCATGGCCTCGGTGTTTTCCTGTGGGATTTGCCCTGACTGAGGAGAGTAGTTCAGCTGCTTTGAGGGTGTGAGAGCAGCAGGAGCAGAGACAGAATTAATGCAGACACTAAGTTTTGCCTGGTGCAGTTTAGCTACAAATAGGATGAAGTTTCCATTTGATCCTACTCAGCACTCTGGTGTTTGCTGGGTACTTGAGAAGACCCTTTTACCTCCAAAAGTTTTTGTAAGACTTCTTTCAGATCCTGTCGGGGACGGGAGCAGCGAGGCTCAGTTATCAGAAAAGGTGTTGAAGACATGCTTTCATGCCAGAGGATAATACTTCCAATGAAGCACTTACAATCCCCTTTTCTTGTGGTTCTTCTTTTTTTTTTTTTTTTATCTATATTTCTAATCTCAAAAGCTCTCATCCTCTGGCAACGTGCTGCCTTTAATCTGCAGCACTCCGGTGCGTCGCGTTCTGCGCCGTTCCAGGGTTAAAGAGGGAGCCTAATCTTTTTCAGACCTTTTTCATCTATTGCTGCTGTAAACTGGTGGGTGGAATATAGAAGAGCTCCAGTGCATAAATACATAGCTCCTTTTTGGCTTTGAACATGGGCTCACAAAGCAGTCGTACTGCACTTCTGTGGGGCTGCCTCGGAGTTGGAAAGAGTTGCTATTAGTGGATTATTAGTCCACATCCCTATGGGGAACCAGTGATATTTCTAGTCCAGTCTTCAGACAGTCACAAAAGACTTTGGTTTGAAAGCGGCCACATCCTGCTGGAAAATCTGCCTTTTCCTGTATCTTTTCAAATACTGGAGGTTTTTCTCTTGATTTGTTGGCGTTTATCCTCCTCTATTGATCTGTTTGCTTCAAAATGAGTGCTTTAATTCGTATAAAACCACTTAAAACAACAGTGGACAAACCAGATGTCGACATTATTTTGCTGATGGGCTGTGTAAACTGTGCGTTTTCTTCTGTGTTGATACAAAAATGTGGTGTAATGGAGTAGCCAGGCACAATTTTCTCATCTGGCTTTTCAGTGGGACAGGAGAGATAAGAGATATTTGTCCCTCAGAGCCATAGAAAACTGCTGGGTAAGCCTGGTTGCCTCGTGTAATTTCACACAGACTTTCTAACAAATGTTTAAGGTCTTAAAAAGCCAAAGGGTCAACATTTAGACTGTAAGTTATGACTAAATTACAGAGATAATAAAGTGACTCATTTGTCATAGGCAGCTGAGAGTGAGGCTGCAGATTTTCCATCTTTACCTGTTCAGCAAAGTAAAACCCAAGTCCTCCCTTTCCTCCTGGATCATCTGGATTTTGCACAGTTGTCTCTGAGCTGGCTTCAAGAAAAAAGTGGGAGGCACCATGAAGTGCATTACACCCTTTTGGAAAACAGCTGATGTGCTTCCAAGTGCTCTCACTACACACCTTTGCTACTGGTGGATTGAATTAATTCCATTTATTGTTGTGTTCTGTGTTCAGTGCAGTGCTTTCCTGTTACATTTAAATGGATGAGATGACAGATATCTTTGCCTCTCAAAATTTTCCACATATTGCAGCTCACTACTTGCACCACTCTATACAAATCCAACTCCAAGAATTTAAAAATCAATACACAAGTTCAGCTTTCATTGCGCACAGTGAAAAAAATAAAACAAAAAATCAAACCAAACATTATCCCGGGCTTGATGTGTTTGGGTGTTGTGTCATATTTCCCAGCCACAGAAGGAATTAATTACAGGAATTCTGGGTGCTCTAATGGCATCTCCTCCCTGGTGTTCCCTCTCTAAAGTGCATCCTGCTATTAGCAGTGGGCTTGCAGGGGATGCAGCTGAGCGTGGTTTAGTGGAGTTGTTGTGCAAACCAAGGCAGGACCCAGTTCCCTGGAGCTGTAAAACCAAAGCTGCTGCTTGTGCCAGTGCCTCCTCCAGCTCAGAGCCTGCTCTGTATTCCTGCCATGCGCCGCTATATGCATCATTATAGGAGCTGCCTGTATTTATGTGAGGTAATAGAATTTTATTGGGAGATATCATTCAAAATCTTTATTAAATCTACGCCAAAATATGGATGGACTGTGATGTTTAAATATTCATGTATGGACTAAGAGGATTGAGTTCTTATTTTATGTTTTTTAAAAATTGATGTTTATCAGCACCAGACAGTTTTGTTATGGAGGCATATAAGTATAATTTAATGTTTGTTTTTAACCCTTGATTAATTTTCACACTTAGATGTTTATGAGAATACACAAGTATTTTATCAACAAGTAAATGTGCATGCACAATCGTGTTTTAGTTTATTTCTCTTGATGTTCAGCGTCACTTCTTGCTCTGCTTTCTTGCACAAAAAGCTTTTGCTGCAGAATTTAGCATTGTAATTAAGTGCTGTGTCTGTGCACATTCGGTGCAACAGACAATGGGAATTTTTTTTTCATGTGCTGTGAGGTTACAAAACATGTAACTCTTTGTCTTTGAAACCATCAGAGAAAATATGGGGCTCCACCTCCCATGAAGCTGCCACCTCCTTACAGAGCACTCGAAAGTCATCACGCAGAGGAGGTTGTTGTGGATGAAGAGGAGGATGAGGATGCTTGTGCAGAGGGTGAGTAGTGCTCCAATCATTGCATCAGATCACATTTGTGGGACACAATCAGGTGCTGGTAAGCCTTCATGCCTTTTATTGCTTGTGAGAAGTGGTGCTCAGTGTGGCTGCAGCATCAGTCCTCAGCCTGGTTTGTAACTAAGATGCTTCTCCCCGGCCAGGCTCCCAGAGCTCAGCTCTCCTGAGGAGATGCAGGAAGGGCTGAGTTTATTTTCAGTCCCAGAACATCTAAGCTGTGTCTGGAGGAGTTGCATGGGCAGAGATGTCAGCAGTGACTGGAGATGTTTTGTTTTACTGCTCTGATTTCAGTGGCAGTAGAGCAGTTGTAGGTTGAGGACCACTGGGGCAAAAATCCAGAAAACCTGCAGTTGATCCCAGGCAATGCTGTCCCAGCAAGGTGGGTTCCTCTAAAAGGAAAAATCTGCTGATTTGTTGTTTTGGTGCTCTGCTGAAGAAAGGATCCCCTGGTTTTGGAGCACTCTGCATGGGGAAGGTTCTGAAATTGTCCCATTTGGGGTTTGGCAGTGGTTTGTGGTGATGCTCACTCTGTGGAAGAGCAGGGACCTAAGGAGCAGGAAGCAGTGCAAGTGGAGAGCCTGGCAGCATGATTTAGATTCCAGCTGCTTTTGAATCACAACTTTGGTTAATTACAACTTTGCTTAAATGGAATATTAGTATCCATAGCTTACCTTGCAGTAAAATATTTAGGAATACTGAGCTTGCAATTAGGAGTCCTAAATTACTTTCCAAAATCAGTTGCCTTTTATTTTTTTATATCTTTATGCTCTTTTGTACCAAATCAGCATAAGGTGAGATGAGGCCTTGACCAGCCTGGTCTAGTGGAAAGTGCTCCTGCCCGTGGCAGGAGGTGGAATGAGATGATCTTTAATGTCCCATCCATCCCTGTAACATTCTGTAATTCTGTGTGGGCTTTTGTTGAGGTTTAGTTTGTATTTTTTTTGCTACAGTGATTTTTCTCATCATCTTGAGCTCTCAAACCGACTCCATAAAGCTCCAATTGTAACAAACTCATTCCAACTCGTTATTGCAGTTCTAATTCCCAGTCCAAGGATAGGTGTGATAAGTAGGCTGACACCTGAGTTATCTAATTAGGATATGCCTCAATCCAAGTGCTTGCTGGGCCTAAGTTAATACTTTGCACAGAAGTAATTCTTTATTCATGGGCTTGGCCATTTTTTAGCTCTCCTGCCATCCCTAATGATATTGCTGGCTGAGGCTGGAAGCTGAAAAAGTAAAGCTGCTGCTGATATTAAATTCATCAATCCTACCAGCCTTGGCAGCAGCACACAGGTCTGTTCAGGGGAATCTCCTGTCTTCCCTTTTTACTGACTGAAGTTGAATGTTTTGCTGTAGCCATCTTTTCCATGAATCTTGGGGAACAGAGATGTATTCTTCCCCACCTCATTCTGTTCCTTTAAAAATAAGAACAGGCCAGTTAAGCTTAAACTAAGTTTGTGCCTCAGCCCTTGCAGTAAAAAGCAAGTTAGAAATGATCCAACTGTCCTTAATGACATTAAGCATCTTGGCAGCTGTGGAATGGGCTTTTACAGAGTCCCTGTTCTGTGATCACTTGAAAAACAAAGTTTTCTCTGCAAATTCCAGGACATTATTCTTTCTGTGAACTACTTGATGCTCATAACTTCTGTCCTGGCTCTTGAGCACCTTTTCCAGAAATGCCAACCCAGACAGGAACTTGTCTTTCTTAACTGCCCATTTTTATGCTCATATTGCTCTGTTCCTTACCCACTTACCCAGCTACTCCTGCTGGGTTTGGAACCTTAACTAAAAATATATCAACAGGTGAGCTGGATTTATTGTCTTCCTTGTTTAGAAGATAAGGTATCCAAAAGGAAGATGTGGTGTCAGCCCAGGTAAATTCACATCATAACCTCTCCTTTATTTGCTTCCTGTAGTTCTCAATCTCTGTCATAGCATGGAAAGCCTTAGAGGGCATTTTGAGGTGGGACAGCTGTTAAACTGTCCTCTTGTTTTGTTCTTGATGGATTTTACTTTATTTTTTAGCATTCTTATTAACACAGCTGCAGTGTCAGGGACCTGCTCATCAATTTCTTTCAAACTCCAGAAATAATTTATTTGCTCCGCTTGACATTTTTTTGTCCTTGCTTATCACTTCTTTCAGCCCTCCCTCCCATCTTTTGTCTCCACATCCTCTATCATTCCCCAGACTGAAAAAACAGAGCATTGTTAGTCTTCCTGCCATATTTGAGAATTTTTTTTCCCTTTCTGTCCCATCCATGTTGCCTCAGTCTCCATGTTTTGTCTGTTTTCCCCTTAAAGTGGCTGAATAACCTTTTGGTGTTGATTTAATTTCCCCTAAAATCTAAACCCACTTGCCTTTTGGCAATGCTTCCTTTTATTTCTGCTTTCCCACTGCTGAAACTGTAGCTCTGATTGTGACCTGTTGGAACAAGCAGTCATTTCTTGTGTATGGTCTCCCTTTTCTTTCCAAAGGTTGCTTTTGATCCAAAGAGGGCAAATCCTTGTTGGGAACAGAACTGTGAGGTAGTTTTTGGTTTAGAGAAACTCCAGGCATGTCCTTCATGTTTCTGTGGTTTAAGAAGTTTAAAGTTCCAGGTGTTTTGTTGTTTGTTTGTTTGTTTTTTTTAATGTGACTCTTGCACCCAAGACTCTCTAGTTTTACTTCCAACATCGTTTCCTAAGTTCTTAGATGGCTTTTCCTAGACTTTGAAGGCAAGTTGAAAGTTGTATTTCCTCTTGTTTTAATTCTTCTTCTAGTGATGCTGCCAAATCTTTATCTGTGCTCAGCTCTCACCCTGTGTGTGGGTTTTGTTTTCTCTTTGCTTTGAGGCTGCTGCTCTTTCCAGGCTTTCAGTTTATGCATGGAAACTTTGCACAACTTGCAGCGTGTCCATCCTGCTGCCAAAGCAGCTTTCAAAACGCTTCATCCTCCACACCTGAAACATTACAGCACAGCTTTGGAGCAGGTTTGGAGTCTTCCCTTCCCACCCTTACCCGTGGCAGAGTTTTGGACTTCCCAAATCTGAAAAACACCGAGTTGTGAATGGGATTTTTTTTTTTTTGCCTTTTTTTTTTTTTTTTTTTAAATCAAAACAAGTAAAAGGAGTGGAGAGCACACAAAGGAGCTGATTGTGCTTGTGAGCAGCTGTGCTGCAGGCACTGGTAGGCACTGGTGTGTTTTCCTGGAGTGGGGATGGCTGGAGGTGTGCTCCAAGAACCTGCTAATGGATTTGTGTGCACCCCGTGGTGGCTCATTGCCATAATGAGGGGTGGGTAGTAAAAAAGAAGCAGAGGAAATGGATGGGCAGAGCAGTTTTGCAATGGAATGTTTCATGAAGTTTTCCTTGGGGGAATTCCTGGCTGTACAATTTGGATATGCTTTTGTGACCGAGTTGCAGCAAACATAAACTAGATGGGAGAGAACTGAAAAACCATTCTAGAAAAACTGAAAGGACAACTGTTGAAAGAACTTGAAGTCCTTAGTTTCAATTGCTGTTATCTTTTTAGTGGAATCTTTTGTCAGTTAGTTGACTGAGATCGATCTGGTTGGTTTCAAATCAGTCTAAAATAATAAAAATAGATGGTAATAAAAAATTTGTGGAAGGTGGCTTGGGTAATGGACTAAGCTACTGCTGTGCTCAGACTTCCTGTCTGCAAGGATATTTAACTGTATCTAATAAGGGGATAATAATGCCCCCTTCCTCTTATTTTGTCTCTAGATAATGTAGAAATCAATGAAGCTGTAAGAAAGCATAATGATTTATCTTCCTGAGATGCTTTTTTGAGGAACAGTGGTTTCTCAGTGGTTTCTCTTGCTAAAGCAAGAGATTTTAAAACTTCTCTGGTATCTTGTCTTTGCATTCTTGACTCAGAGGGTGGGGAGGCCCTGGCATGGAGAAGTTGTGGATTCCCCATTTCTGGAAGTGTCCAAAGCCAGGCTGGATGAGCTTTAAGGTCCCTTCCAACCCAAACCATTCCATGGTTCTGTGATAAATCTGTGGTGCAGGAGGGTTGGATTGGCATTGGGCAGCTCTTCCAACACCTCTGAGGTTTTTAGCAGCCTCCAGATGCCACTGATGTCTGTGATCATTATATTTTATCAAGTATAAAATAAAAATTTTCTATTTATTAAAAATGAAAGATGGAAAAAAAAAGGAATGGAGTTCATTTCAGACTTTGAGGAAGGTATGGTCAGGTTCATGGGATGGGCAGAATCAGGATCTCTGGAAGTGTCTGCACTGCTGTGGGTGAGGATGGCAACGTGATGATCAGCATTTTGGGAAAATGCCAGGATTACTAACAAATGACTAAATAAAAACCAACCCACTCACAATTCCTGGGTATCTCACTGTTTGGAGTCTGGTTTATGCAAAGTTGTGCTGAAACAAAAGAAAAGGAATGCTAACTTTTCATTTTGGGGGGGGGATCACCTGAAAATGTTGATCTTCAGTGGAGGCAGCTCCTGCAGCCAAACACTGCCTCTCCAATAGATGTCACTGCAATCAACAGCAAACAGAGATGATGCTCAGAGGGGAAGATGTAGCTTGGAAAAAGGCTTTATGAAAATAAAATATTGCAAAAGTAGTAATTGCAAGATATAATGTTCTTAAATATAGTACCAAGTGTGTTTAATACGGTGGATTTCCTTAGATCAGGCAAGAGCCAGGATTAGACAAATAGAGCAGAGACTTTCATTTCTCAGCTCTGTGTTAATCTCTATTTAATGTGACTCTGTGCTGCTAATCTTCTTTTCCCATTCTTGTTCTGACCCATAATTAGCTCGAATTCATGGGGTTTGTAACCAGCCCTAACATCAGATCCAGAGCTGCTGTGCCACCCTGGGATGGGTGAGGGAGGTGGAGTCACTGCACTTTGAGCTTGTGGGTTCGTCTGGGGTTTTGTTGTTGGGCTGGTTCCTTCACTGCCTTTGTGAATCACACGCACAGTTATCATCTGATGAAGTATTGCGAGAGGAAATT